CCTGCCCCCGTTGCAGCCAGCCCAGGAAGGAGAAATTACCCGGCGGGTCCTCACACCGGTTGGTCCCAGACCAGAGACAGAGGTACGAGCTTGTAGTTCCACCTCAGCAAGCATTATACACCCCCGACCAGGACAGTTTGGATGGGTTAAGGACGGTAATGAGTAAGATGAGGCTGGGGACTCCGGAGAAGAAGTCTACGAAGAACAAACAACCGGTGGATTGGTTCAAGGATGGGGGAAAGGGACCGCCGCTGGGGCCATCGGTGCAGGCTCGGTGGGCTGCGCCTGGGGGGGTGCGGAGGCGGTGGGAGAGGGAGGGGGCGGTGGTTGTTATTGATGAGAGGAGGGGTGGTGGTGGTGGTGTTGGTCGGTCTCCGCCTCCTCGTGGTGGTGTTGCTGGTGGTGCGCAGTCTGGTGTTGTTGCTGCGATGGCTGATGCGGTTGTTGGTCGTCCGCGGGTGAGGAGGCCGGCGATTATCGCGAGGATCAGGAGGAGAGGGTCTAGTAGTGGTGGTGGTGCTGATGATGCTGGGCGTACTGGTGGTGTGATGTGATTGTGGAGTCAAGAAGAGCGAGGCAATATGATATGTTGGTAGGCGAAGATGTTGGGTGATATATGGAAAAGAGACTTTGCTAGGTTGGCTTGTTTTGTTGAGAATAGATCCTGGATTTTGCTTTCGGATCTGTGAAAGTCTTGGCGTGAAAAGGGGGTGCCAAGAACTCAGGGCTCGAAAGCCGCATGCTGATGTTGTCGACCTTGTGCTACTTTCCAATGATATTGCTCCACAAACAACAGTGAAAATCCAGTATGTGAAACAAATTATGGTAGTGGTATGCAAATCGATCTACTTCCAACTACGGTATGTCCATTCAGTCCAAGTACTTGCTCCCCGTATTTATTTACTTATTTTGTGCCGTTTTCCTTCCTTCTTTTCCAGCCCTTTTTCAAGCCAAGTCCAGTCCCGTGATGTTTTTTTATAGTCTCAGGCCATGCCATGTTCTTGCGCGTCCCATTTCCCATCGATCAACCACGGCAAGTATCGCCGTGCCTACCTCACCACTTGAGCGTTCTCGGCGGTAGCACCCGGGTGCAGTCGGTCAGGTTGTTGATGTTGAAAACACCGAGAAGACTAAGCCGGAGGTACGCGCGGGCGTATTCCTATTACACACTCCTGTTAGCGGGACTTCACAACAAGGCTGAGGACAAGGCTTACATGAGCCCAAAGAGCCTGGCCACCAGGTCCGGCAAAAGCCTTGAAAGCCGGGAACAGGAGGGGGTGCTCAGCCAAGACAACATCGCTGGGGAGGCGGAAGACATCAGGAGGGGAGCGGGCAGCCAGAGTCTGGCGGTAGAACAGCACATCGCAAACACCTGGGGTGCTGTCCTGGGGGGCGCCAGCACGCGCAGGATTGAAGAAACGTTGGCGGCTGGTGGAGTGAGCACCGAGCAGGGCGGCAAGGCTGAGCGGTTGGATAGTCTTGGCACGGAACATGGCGATGACCTTGTCGGGAGGGTCGAAAGGGCTGGGGAGAAGCCCGTCTGGAGCAGGCTTGAAGTTGTCTCGGCGGCCAACAAAGGAGCGGATGCGGGGGCCACTGTTGAGATGGCAGAGTCAGCAACCGGTGAGACGGAGTAGAGAACGAGGCAAAAGATGTAATTGACTTACAGAGGGCAAACAACAGTAGCGACATTGGCGCCCATCTGGATCAAATCGGCCATGCTAACACCGAAATGGCTCCAGCGATCGTACCAAAACTTGTACTGTTGAACAATCTCTTGAAGCCCCTTGTTTGGTCGGCGAAGCATCTCCTCGGGTGCATGGACGATGGACCCGTCAGCACCCCCGAAATCGCCCGTAGTCTTGGACCACGCGCCGGCATCGTGAAATCCGGTGCGGATGGCACCTCGGGCGGCATCTGTACATTGCCCATCAGTGCCACGGAAGAGTTGTGACATTTCTTTGGCAATGTACCACCAGACGCAGCAAGTGTCTCGAGCACAAGCTGCCGAACGCAAGGGAGGTACGTATTGGTAATGCTCATTCGATTGAGCATCGAAGCCATCGACCAGAATTGATCTGACCAAGTGGGAAACGGGGCTCATCTGGCGAGGTTGAAGCCATTGAAGGTCACCGATGAGCTCTTGTGGCCTCCGGTCTGCCTCGTGGAGGGCTTCCAGAACAGACGAGTTCATCATCCCCGGATCGGCTTGCACCGCCGCTGAGAGCATGGTTATGCCACCGGCCAAGGCCGTAGCGATAGAAGAGGCCTTCATGGTGGCTGGCTGGAGACGAGAGAGTGTCTTTCTGTACCAAGGGCAGACGCAACTGAAAGAAGGGGGGGGGGGGGGCGGACCTGCAAGACTGAAACGAGTGACAGCTGTGGGTGTATGGCGAAGAAACCGAATATCGAGACTCTTCAGCCTTGGACCCCGCCGACGTAGATATATCATATCCCAAACTCATCAAGGGGTATCGACTGTGTCATGGCCACCGTTCACAGCGCTTGGGATCGTAACCATGTGCTAGTCTGGCCGGTAGTGTTCGACGCCTTGCTCTAGATCACTAAGAACTTGGCCATTCCATGCTGGTATCTTCCCAGCAGGTGTGCCAGTCATTGCTTCGACCTGTGTGTTATTCCATTCCTTTTCTCTGGTGACGATTCGTGGACGGTTATCGTGCAGTTTTGGCCGGCTAGATAACAGGCTAACTCGGGGTTGGTTCGGTGGGTGGAAGAAAAGGAGGGCGGAATGGTCGCCGGCGTCTGCGCCGAGTCCGGATCGACATTTCCGCCCTCTTGCAATCTCCAAACTTCAGTTGAGATCTAAGTCCGAAACTCTGGTTGGTGTTGCGGCAAGGCGTCATAGGTGAGGCCGGAGACGTCGCTCAACCATGGGTCATGGACAGTAGCCGGTGGACGAAGGTCAATAGTGGAGTCGAGCCACGGGAATGTGCTTGGTTGCCTGGTCTGTTCAGCGAAGCATGTTGACTCCTAAAGCAAATAAAGTTTTCATCTTGGACAGACTTGCGAGGTCGGATCTTCGAAAGGTGAGGCAAAACTACCCCGTACCTTAGGCTCATTGTAAGCAACGATGGTTGAAGCATGGCGTGATTGTTTCTTCTATTCCTTACCTTTTGTCACCTATGCCTTCTTTTGAGGACGGCAGTACCAAAGATGGAGGGCGTCAAAGGTGGTGATTGTTGTTCTACTTAGGCATTCGCAGGTTCTATTAATTAGTCCTGATGCTTGATGAATTCGTCGTGGGGGATTGCCTCTGTAGGGTTCCGGCTGGTGTACCTTAGTATCTGCAACGATTCAAAGGCGAAAAGCAGTCAATGGCTTTAGCGTCCGGACCTGCAGTCGGCATGATGTCAGCATTCTTGCTGCTAACTGCAATCTCCAATACTCCTCCAACATTCTGTTCCAGGATCACAATTCGAGTATTCCAGGAACCCTTGACTTTCAATGTTCGAGCTATGTTGCGAGGAAAACAACAGCTGTTACAAACTACCAACGCGACCACATGACGATGGATACCTGTTCACGGGTCTCGGTGTTTACACCCTGGGTCAGGCATCAAAGTAATCATAGCTGGGTGGGACAGCAGATTGATCCTTACCATTCATTGATAGCCACAGTTTCACAAGGCATCCTGGCGAATACATCACTGTTGCAACAGAGCACTGAAAAAAAAAACATTGTCTTCAGCCGCCTGTATTTCATGCAGCTCTCGGGCAGACGGTCGTGTAATCTGTTTATTGATGCCTATTCTGGAAGTCCACCCGCCTCAAAAAATTTCTTTGACGCCCAAATCATTGTTGTGCCACGCCGACGGGAGAAGCTTTGGCGTTGTTCCGGACCACTTCCACAGCTGCCAACCTCTGTTATGTCTTTGTTATTCGGCTCCCGACCTGTGTGTTCCAGAACTCCGAGGCCGGACTGGAGGATGTTGCCGTAGTATATCGCACGTCGTGTCCATGTCAGGCATCATCCACCGACCTCAAGACTCGTTGCGTGTCCCGTAGTGGACATTGGTGATGATGCTAGCATTGGCAGGTTTCCAGCTAGCGTTTGCGCTTCTTGGGACAGCGCTAACCTTGCCCACCATCGAAACCAAAAAGGGACTGTTATCGTTCCCTGTTTTGCAAAAACGGAGTCAGTCTGTGAATCTTAGGAAACGAGACAATGTGGTGACCTTGGGCAATGTCTCGACGTTGACATACCTCATTCGACGTGGGCCCTCTCCCTCGTACATCCCCGTAATACCCACAAGCTGACACACCCATACCAGTTGAAATTGGCACTCCTCCACAACCAGTTGAGGTTGTGCTTGACACCGGATCTTTTGAGCTCTGGGTAGACCCAACGTGCGCAACGGCCGCTACCCAGGGCCAAGAGGAGAAATGCAACGCCTCTGGAAGATATATACCAGGCCAGTCCTCCACCTACGTCGACAAGGGCGCTAAACAGCATATTGGGTACGGGAAGGGCGGTGCCGAGATCAGCTATGCGGCTGACAGTATCCTAGTGCCCGGAAGTAGTCAGTGCATTTTCACTCGCCCTTGAAAGTTTGGTACATTGGTGATCCCTTACTGACTGTGTCTGCAGATTCTCAGCCACTGCGAAATGTCGTGTTTGGTGTCGGAGTGAACACGACCGAGCTTGCTTGGGGTGTTGGCGGCATCGGACACGGCAATGGTTTCAACCTCCACTACAACAACCTGATCGACGAGCTCCATGCCCAAGGAATAACACAGTCCAAGGCCTTTAGCATAGCTCTTGGAGGCCAGTACTCGGAGACCGGAGGGGCTATCATCTTCGGGGGAGTTGACACAAAGAAGTTCGGCGGAAAGTTGCACAAGTTCGACAATATGCCTCCACAAATCGAAGGGAGCAAGGAAGGCCCATGGCGGTACTGGGTGCAAATGAAGTCAGTCGGAATAACAACCCCAAACAAAGTTGTCGCGACTTACGAATATTCGACGATGCCCGCTCTTCTCGACACCGGATCAACATGGAGCTACCTGCCCCAGCACATCTTCGATAGTCTGCAAGACGACTTTAACGCCACTCTTTCTGAGGATGGTAGCCTTGAAGTGCCATGCTCCATCGTTGACCAGCCCGGCACTGTCGACTTCACATTCGGGGACCTGACCATTCAAGTGCCATATTCGGAGTTCATCTCCCAGCTGGAACCAGGATATTGTGCGTTGGGTGTCCTGCCGAGGAAGGGGTCGTATGATCGAGCGGTCCTGGGAGACTCGTTTCTGCGATCAGCCTATGGTCAGTCGAAATCATTGCAGTTATTTAGTCGTGGCATCAAGTACGTGCTTACACCATGATAGTCATTTTTGATCAGACCAACCAGCATCTGTATATGGCGAGCTACCACGACTGCGGCACAAACGAGCAAATACTGTCAGGAGAAGTTGGAGCGGCCCTCAATCTGACCGGACAGTGTCACTCCGGTCACCATCTATTTGCATCTATCCCAATGTGCTGGATCATTGTGCCAGCTGCCTTTGTTTTGTGGGTGCTTGCGTTGTTTTTGTAGCGTGGAGGCAGTTGAATGGTGCCAGCATCAGATCGTATGTACAAAACTCAAACAGAATAACCAGCATGTACATAGCTCTCCCAAAGGGAACGAGCACAAGTTAGCCCTGGATCCACTTGTACATGTCCAAATGCTTTCATTCTGCCGAGATCCCCAGTTCTCACTTGTTGAGAGGTCCTGGAAGCAATGATATTTCGGTCATTCGTCACTGGTGGTTTCATACTACGAGGCAGGCATGTCTCAGAATGATCAGGTGCCCAGTAAGCTTTTGTCATCAACAACCTGGAAACTACACAGTTGCCTCAATCGATCTCCAGTCTTCTTCTGCCGTAGCACACTTTCCCACTCAAGAGTATCTAGAGCGGCCGCTATCGGCTGGGTAGAGCTGGTGAACGGGCCTCAGTCATCAGTAATCGCCGCGGCAGGCTCGAGATCATTCCATCTCGGGCGAGGATACCTGTGGACCCCTGTAGGTGAGGGAGCTTGTCTCTGGAGTTCCGGCATTACCTTGCAGGAGGAAAGGGCATTGGTGAGGCATAGTCGCTTTGACACGACATCAATTGGAACATTCAATATCGTAAGATAAAGCCTACCTCTGTTCATCATTTTCCACTCTCCAAACTTTCCAGCAGACGTCAATGATTGTCACACATCTTTTTGTTGGCCAGCTTTCATTGATGTTGAAAGCAACCCAACAGACAGTCAACGGGCGCAGACCTAAGCACATGGCGGAACAAGTGATCTGACAACACCGTAAAAGCATGGGTGCAAACACACTTCACAAAGTGGAACAAGTGTGTGCTGAGAAACTTTCATCCCGATGGTGAACAACCCAACCGATCCGTCAGTCTCAAGCACTGGAATTTGAAAATAATGCACCTGGGTTGGTGATCCCTTGTGGGAAGAAGAGACACCAGAATCGACAGCTGGTGATCTCTTATGGGAAGAAGAGGCACCAGAACAACAGGCTTTGATGATGCTCTTCCATGGGAGAGGGAAGAGACCACCAAGCAAAAAGGAAAAAGAAAAGAAAAAAATGTTTCCATTGTGTTTTGCCAGATCAGCCTATAGAGGGATCCTCAAGGGAAGGACTGAACCAGTTCTCGTAAATGGAATTTTGATGTCTGCATTGTGGTTTCCAGCTCAGCCATGGAGAAGCAGGCTGAACTGTTTTTTGCAATGCAATTTCATGCACATGAAAATTGGAGTGAACTCTCGAAGACTAGAGAGCCACACTGAGGAAAAAGAAGAAAGGAAAGGAGGGAGAGTTGGGAGGGGAGGGGAGTTTTTATAGGTGGTCTGGGGGGCGGTCAATGCACGCTTGACGATTTGGGAGGGAATGCAAATCTGGGGGTGTGGTCAGACAACGATGCGATGGGGTGTCTGGAGGCTTCCGTTGGCTAGGGGGGAAGGAGGGAGACGGGGAGGATGATGTCGTTGTGGCCGTTGCCTTGTATGTGAGTAGTTGACTGGGGGGAAGGCGGTTCCTCTGCTGCCTCGCTGCCTCGATGAGAGACCTTGATGGACGACCTTGATGGCCAACAGAAGAGCGAGAGGCTGGAGGGCCTGTGACATTGTCGCTGCCTTGCCTTAGGGCTATGATGTCGTTCTGTGGGGAGGTTGTGTGGAATATATGCCAGTGAAAATTCCTGTCTTGTGGGACACTTTACTCTCCATCTACTTCAGCTGCGATCCATCCATCACCACCTTTTGCTCATCATCTATGCCTCAAGATCTGTGAACAGAGGCCGATTGCGAGTCCGCTTCAACACTACGACAGATTCCCCACAACAGTCAACGCTAATATGTCCGTAGATCCTCGCCTCGGCCTCGGCCTCGACTGTCAGCGCACCGGAGCTGCCACGGATTCTCATCACCAACCCTGATGGGACGTCAGTGAAGCCCAAGAGGGCGTTCACATCATCATGGAACGTGTTACTTCGAAGACTGGGGACGCCTTTGTGGAGTTTAGCAGCATTCATGCTGCCACTCGCACCATCGAACGCCACTACGAGGCGATTCGTAAGCATCGTCAACCTTGCTTGGGCGACCGCCCTATCGAGATGACGATGTCCAGTCAGAAGGAGTGAGACATGAAGGAGGCACATCAGTGACGTCTGATTCAACACTGGCTGCCTTCAAAGATTTTTCGGTGGCAACGCCCTATTTCAACTCAAAGGACTGTCCTCAGCGACCTTTCGAGTCGATGATCTCCACGCTCAAGAAGCTTCCGTGGTACCGCTCTGTTCGCCAGTTCTTCCTCACCAAGTGCTGGTGATGAGAATCCGTGGCAAGAATGTGGGTAAGTTCTGTTTCTCCAAAAAGGCCACTGGTTTTGTCAGACGCTAACACCTTTCTAGGAAGAGTTGAACTCCCACGACAACTAGGGCACTTATGCTAGCCCGCGCAGGCTGGAATCAACTTGTCTCAAAGCATGGCCGGGCCGGGGTGGTGAACTCAGATTGGATTGGAGACCTGCAGGCGCCGATGTTGCGTTATTGAGGAATGTATGGCAAGACTGAGCATATAGAAGAAGGATTGTTGGAGTACCTTGTTTAGATATTACTCTTGGGATTCGGGTCATAATGTATTATCATGTATCTTGTTGTCTATCTACTTGCTCTTCCATCATCCAATGACCTTTTGAGACGCCAGGTTCTCATGTTGACATTTTGTGTCTCCATCCATTTATAACAGAGGACTCGGAAATTAGATATCTAGGCCACTGGAAATTGCCCCCCCTTCTAACAAAGACCTTTGTTGTCCAAAGTTGGGACGAAAATATTGGTGATAACCTCAATCTCAAGATCAAAGCCAAGAGTTGTAAACCCCTGAATTGCTGATGGCCAGCGCACGGACCAGTTCCCCTTAAGATACCACGACTACGATTATGAATACAACTTGTAGATCGGAGAAAGGTGTACTGCAGTGGGGGGTCGTGACTGGACTGTTCGACACTAATGATACACACTTCAGGGCCCTGAAACCAAATAAAGCACTCCACGACACTTTTCACTGTCACGCCAAGAAAGCCCCTTGGCTGGTGTCTTTTGTCCTCGTTATTCTTTTCCTGTGTCTTTACTATGGGACCCCATTATTATCACCAGCTCCAAAAACAAACATATATGTACCAATCTCACATCGAATCGCCCTACTATCTTCGCCCTCCGCCTAGTCAAGTTAACATAGCCCCCATCCTCAACCCAACGTCTCAACAACCGTGGCTGCCAACGGCCTCCTCGTCCCAGGACCGGTATAAAAATGTCGTCCACGGGTATACCAAAACCCAACAGAAAACATCAGAACAAACACAAACACGACAATAGCATAGTTCATCTGTTTCAGAAGTCAGCATCTCTCCCACTTCCCAGCCCGGGAAAGCAGACAGAAAAACTCACATTCTCCGCCGCAACCGGCAACCTGGTAGGAAAAAAGAAAATAACTGCCATGAGCGTGTTCCACCCCACAGCAACCACATTCATCACAAAGCTCCACCTCCCCAGATTCCACGGCCCTTTTTCAAATCTCCCGTACAGCATCTTGCAGACGATGGGGACCAGATAAGAGATATTCAAGGCAACAGTGCAGACGTTGAACACGGCACTGATTGCCGTGTCGGACATTAACCCGAGGAGATTAACAATAATCTCGAGGGCGGCATATAACCACACCGCGGCAATGGGTGTCTGGGAGCGCTTGGAGACCCGACGCCAGTGGTGGGAAAAAAGGGGAGTAGGTCGTCGCGAGCAAAGGCGAAGATGGTGCGGGAGCCAGCTTGGATGCCTGGGATGGCGACTAGGTTCATTACTACGAAGCCGCAGAGGGTGAACAGTATTGCTGGGGTGCGGCCCATGGCATTGAAGAAGAGTTGGGCTACCTGTTGGGTTAAGAAGGGTTAGAGGTTGTATAGGATTAGTCAAGGGGAGTGGGGGTTTACTGGTTGGCCGCTGAGGCTTTGGACTAGTTCGAGGGGGTCGCCCATGCAGATCACTAGTACGAGGTTGAAGAGGAAGCCGATGATGTACGTGAAGGTTGTGGCGTTGGCGATTGCTTTGGGGACTATGCGGGCGGGGTCTTTGGCTTCTTCGGCGATGCTGTAGGAGGCTTGTCAGCGACGTCCTCTGTGTGAGAGAACATGAGGGCATACCGGGCTGTGCTATCAGCGCTTGTCATGATCCAGGCTGGTGTCAGACAGCCAAAGAGAAAGGCAAAGCCAGGGGGATTCCAGCCGGATGAGGGCTGGAAGTCAGTGAAGGCATATGCAATGCTATGCTTTTCCTTTGTCTGAACGAGCAGGCACACGCAGGCGCCAACCAGAACACTGATGTGGAATACTACATAGCCACTGGTCAATCGTGTCAGCCATAGTGTTGGCAGTGTGTTGATCGAGGCATGAATGACGGTCAAGACGGCCATACAAGCCACAACATGATTGTTGGTCGGCATGTAAGAGAAGTTGGAGGTGATGGACACAGCTGCGAGCAGCATCTGACTGGATGCATATTCGGTGGCGGCACTGCCGGTGACGGTTCCAACAAGATTGATGTAGCCTGCTTTCGTATTAGCAGAGTACACTCCCTTGCCAAGAAAGAGTACGAACCCGAAATCCAGCACAAGATGGGCACTTGCTCCTCCGGCGCAAGAAACTTCAGAGTGAAGTACATAGCCCCTGAACTTGGATATGCTGACGATAGCTCAGCCAGACTAAGTGCCAATGCCCAAGCCCCGGCACCCCCTATGACCCAACTCCACATGATGGCGGCAGCTCCACCGGCTTGTAGTCCGTATATCCAAGTGGACATGAGGGAGCCGTAGACGCCGGATATGCTCATGGCAAAGCTGAAGCTGGACCAGGTGGAGAACTCTCGTTTGAAGACCTGAGAACAGTCAGCTTTTTTGTTGTATCGTCAACAGACCAGGGCTCTTGCTTACCGGTGTGTACCCCATGGCTTCCAGCTTCCTGTCGGCCTCATCCATCGTGACATCGTCACTCGAGGACGTCAAAGGCGACACATTTTCTCGAACAACGACCATAGACCCCTGAAGTGCATTGGTGTGGCCGGACTTCTCTGCACTCTTGGAAGCCATTGTTCTGGTTTGGAACAAGCTCCCTCACCAGACTCCAAAATCCAGAATGTTCCTCAAGAAAGGGAGCACCACGGTCTCGTCCGACAATGTTTCCAGCACGCCCGTTTTGTAATCCATCCGATCTGTCCTCGTCCTTTCAAGTGGCACCAAAACAGCTTCCCCGGTCCCAGCGTGCGTTGTCAAGCCGAAGGGCATCGATCCGTCACCAAGTGTGTCACGTCGATTCTCAATCTCTGTACTTGAACGTCCACCGGGGAACGACGCGATTGGTAATCAACCTCTCATGACGTTAGGCTAGGTCGCAGCCACATCTGCTGGTATGCATAATCCGGCTGTGGTCGGTCGGCCCTGCACCTCCTCCATCCGATGTCTGAGTGGTCACTGCAACAGCCGTTTCTGCAGTATGTACAAAGCTGCCAAAATCGGCACAGCGGTTGGGCATTCTGAGGACGGGCTGGCATACACCGGTCTGGCTCCAGGTCTGGATCTCGTTGAAGTGGGTGCCGCTTGCTCGATGCTTGATGCAGGACCTGCGCACCTTGGCTGCGGGATACCAATACAGGCATGATAGGAGGAACAGTGACTGTCTCGATATTGTAATGTCAACTATTGGTCCTTCAAAGTTGAAAGGATCATTGACCGGGGAAAGTTGCTTCTCTTGGGAGGCATCGGATATTGACCGCATATGTCGGCTTTTGAATTGGGTTAGCTCTTCCTCCAAACCCAAAGGTTCTCGGCCCGCACACAGCAGCGCTCTGCATGCATACGGTCGATAACAATAGTAGATGTCGAACATCAAGAAACTTCGAATGAGGATAGACACTCGAAGGCTTCCCGGCCTCTTCATATTCTTCAAATGTGTTACAAAGAACAGCAGGGACTTCTCAGTAACAGAACCTGGGGTACAACAAGGTAACGCACCGGGATCTCTACCCGACAATTGGAGGATCATCACAAATCCTCCGAGTGTTCTAGAACCTTGGGATTGCCCTAGTGTTTGTGGATGGTTTCTTGAGTGGCATCGGCCAGTCGCGGGGCCCGGTGTTATCTGCTGCCAAGTTGAGCCATGGGTGGTACGCCAATACGGTTCGCCATCTTTGTGGACGGCGACTGTCGACATCTCAAGTGCCGACCAAACGTAGTATTCGGGAAGCCTACATTAGACAGGCCGATCGCTAACAGACTAGCCAGCTTGACGGGTCCTGACAGGTCACAGGTGGGGATGAAGAGGGGGGTATCCTCGTGACAGCAACCGGTGCCAGGCACCCCCTGTTCCGCCTTTTGACACTGCATAGAAAGCTTGAGCCCAGGAGAGAGAGACAGAGAGAGGAAAATTTGATTATGTGTGGTCAAGTCTCTAGCCTCGACCATGTCGACTACATCTGATATACAGACTCCAGAGCTGGCCAAAAAGAACTTCCACCACATCCGACAAAGCCTTGGCGTGCATGCACCTGGGTTACACCATGACGCCTAGCATGGCTGGCTCCTCAAAGACGGGTGACGATGTTTGGGGAAATATCAGTTCCTTGGCGTTTGGCAAAGTAAAAGACGACAGTATCGACTCGAGAAGGGATATTCGATATGTTGAGACATTGCAAAGAATCTACCTAACAACCAAAGTAAGGAGCTGTCAGCAAGGTCCCAAAAGCACGTCCAAGGCACAGAAAACGGACCGAAGAATAGGATACAAACGTACTTGGATTTGGTGTCAAATACAGCATCGAAAGGGAAAAGTTCTCGACTCGTGGTTGTACCACAAGGATGTGCATAAGATTTGTCGAAACATTGCAAAAAGTCTAACGAAGCCAGTAAACTGCTGTCAGTAACGTCCCAGTACCCGAGGCGGATTGTCAGAGCACCTAGGCTCTTCACTTACTTGGACATGATAGTGCTGAAGCATCAAAATGAGCAGGTAAGGTAATCTACCCCGACAGTGTTGGCCAAAGGGCATGCCTGTCAGGTACAGAAGATATGGCTGAAATCACGAGGTAAGGTCCATGTGAGCAACTCTTAACTAGTTCGCGTCGCTTGTCTTCGACTCGGTAACCTTCGACTCGGTGCCGTTCGACTCGCTCGCTTGATCTTCTGGGACCCTCCTCTTGGGGGTAGGAGGCAAGGGACGATTAGGAGGCGGTCCGGGGCAAGGTGGAAGGCGATAGGGAAGTTGATACGGCAGAGGGCCCAAATTGGGGATGAGCCTTTCCGGCGGGGTGTCCGGCCGAGGTAGAACATAACAAGGACGAGAAAGTCCGTAGTGGGGGGTACGCCTCGGCGAAGGAGGCAACGGTGGGAGAGGAGTCTTCGGGCCAGGGGGTGATTTGGGAGGGGGGGTGGTGGGCCAGGGAGGAAGAGAGGGCGGTGTAACAGGGCGCGAAGGGACCTGGGGATGATTCTTAGGTTCCATTGTGTCAGTTTGTAATGGATGCGAGTGTATGGGTGAGGAGGAGATGCTGAGTGTGTGATTGAGCTGGTGTTGGAGTTTCTCAGTAGGTTCCAGGTTGGAGTCGAGCTTGAAAACCTTGGGGCAGAATGTCTACTACTTTTTGCACCTGCCGATTTGTTTCTGTACGAGATGGAAAGAACTTTCCCGGCCAATCGCTCAACCAAGCCCTCAGACCCATCACTTTATTCCAACTATGCTGTAGGGCCTGCTTCAGCAGAAAACCGTATGCAATAATTCTGGCATTTTGAAATGCATAACACAATCAAATACCTAGAGTTCTACATCCTCAGTATCAGAGAGAGAAGGCACTTGACTCTGGGCCTCCACCCTATTTCGACCGCTGAATCTGAATACCAGGCGGGTAGGCTCCAGTACAGAATTATCAGCGACCACCACTCGCCCATCCCCTTGCACCACCCTTATCGGCTTGTCTTCCACTCGCCAGCATCCTTTACCCCCTTGGCGACAGTAGCAGCTCCCCCTTCGACACCAGTCTCAATGTTGGCAATGCCATCCCCAAGAGGTCTCCCGAGCCCACCTGTGGCCCCTGTCACCGTCTCCCCAATGCCACGAGACGCTGCACCTACAACGCCTCCAACCGTGTTTGTCAAGCCGCCGACTGTGTTCCCGAGTGTGGAGGTGACGACCTTTCCGGCACCAGTGACGCCTGAGCTCTTGTTCTTGTCTTCGAGCATTGTGAGAGTGTTGGTTCAAGAATGGGCAGAAAGATGTTGCAATTCTCCAACTGGAGTATGTTGGCTTGAGGCTTTTGTATGGATTTGGAGTTGGAATTTGATGGACATGGGCTTCAGTGTTTCTCCCCTGGCGAGCCACCGCTTTATATCTCCAAATCTCTCCTGGTTATTTGACTTACCGCTCTCGCCGCCCACAGACCAAACCGTTGCTGCACCCTTGCCTTGGCTTCGACGCCGCCCCGCACTACGTCATATTCTCCGACCCATGAACACAACCGCCGTCTGTCCCACCCACCCTGACACCCGCATAGCCACAGGAAACCGGCCTACCATAGGTCAATAACAAGCTCCATCCTCGAGGCCAAAGTTTAGTCGACCGCCGTGTTCCCAAGAGTGACGTTGTTGGCCAAGGGTTGGAAGGTTTTCAGTTCAGAAGACAGACTCTCCACATGCACACCCCCTGAAGTTTGGACAGGGCTTCCTTGTTTTGATTTCTCCTGATGGCAGAGCCAGCCCATCAATATCATTCATACACACCCAGTCTTCTTGACACTTGTCTATCGCCCTGTTCTCGTCCCCGGTCCAGCACTCTGCCATCAACCGATTCAACCCCGTCAGTCATCCTATGCCACAAGAAGGACGCACCGGCCAACACAGAGACCGCACCGGTTGTTGAGCCTAGCATATGCCACCCCAGAACAGCTCTACGGCATATAGCTCACTCACTGTGCTCAGCTTCTTCGGTCATGCTGGGCTCATGGCGGCATGACATGGGGTAGGGTTAGGGTATGACGGTGACGATGTCTTGACTGGATTACTTTCAAAGTGCATACAGTGGTTGGATGTATTGTCAAGTCAACGCGACAGTAGTGATAGATCTTTCCGATAGGTTTGAAGTATATATTTAACTACTCATGTCTTAGGCATTCGGCCAGGACAGCTACAGTCTATATCTCGACATTTTGATTTCCCCGTTTGAAAACGCCAAGCTATTGTCTGGCCCTGGGAATTCGTACGCCGCACGACTGTAACCACCGTACCCTCCACTCCATCACTACATATCGTATTTTCCTCTAAGGGCTTCTGTTATTCTCTGTTGTTCAATAGATGTATCTGCCTTGTCCGAGTGTGGACAAAACCTGTCTTTGTATCTTCAGTGTCTTCAGGTACCAACTTGATCCGAACTCACAGGGTACCTTAACCGAGATTCACCCATTTCTTCCCATTCAGCTAAAACTTGTTCTGATAATGTACATTACCCGTTAATGAGTCCTGAACACCCTCCAGGACATGATCCAATATCTATTCCCCGTTGGAAATCATTAAAGATTGCTGATGCCTCCGTTTCTTCCCCCTCGCCCCTGAACCTCAAAAGTCTCCTCTATCCCCTGGACTCCCGTAAACCAGCAGACACGGTCCTTAGTCCAATGCTCCTGTCGTGGCCGAAGCCTGGTCTCATGCAACGAAAAGTCGTCAACAGTGCCAATGCGCAGGATGCTCACTCCAGGAAAGCGCTCGCCAACACGGTACATGAGCGTACCGCAGTTCTCGCAGAAGTAGTTGGTCATCGCCTTGCCCGAAGCGATCGTCTGGGACTGGCTAAACGTCTTGAGACGGTCCTTCCCGCGCGCGTACTCAAAGTGGGAGTTCTTGACGGTGAAGTTGCTGGCGAACATGGACGCGGTGATCTTGCGGCAGTCGGCGCAGTTGCAGACAAAGGTGTTGACGACGCCGTCGAGGGACTGTTTGTGGGATCATACACGTCGGCTTTGATTTTCCGGCTGGGCTAGAGTGTTGGACTCACTACAATGAGCTGCACCGTGCCACAGTAGCAGGTGGCTGTCGCCTTGCCGTCCTTGTACCAACCGTCCCCGGCGAGGCCGGCAAGCGGGACGTAGGGCTTCGACTTGTCAGCGGTACCAGAGGCCATCTTGTTGTGTGGCGCTGGATCTGTATATGTGGATTTTTATTTTGCGAATGCCGGTGTGGTGTCGGCAAGACGAAAACAAACGTAAATTGAGTAGCCCAGAGTGATTCAAGCGTAGGGTAGAGATAGAATGAGGAGGAGGAAAGACGCACACTGTCGAGCGGCTTTATTGTACCTACTTATACGTGCGGTTTGGAAACAATGGAAAGGGGATATGGGACTTAAAGTATTTCCCTTCCCATGTTCTAGTCTTGGATGTTGGAGACACAATCGCAGTGTTGTCCTCACTGAAGGGGACAACTTTGACCCCTCGCTGAGTAATGAAGGTTGGTTTGATGACCAAACCGGCCTGGAGGGGATAGCCTTGACCCCGCGCTCAGCACAGGTTAGTCATCCACCGGTTTGATGGCGGCTTTACAAGCTAACAGCGTCATGAAGGTGTCACAGCATGACAACGACGAATTCCAAAGATGTTTTTTTTTCTTGCTTTCCCTGTATAGATACAAAAGATGCTATGTACATGAATTATGATACACCACCATGACAATCTTCTGCCCTTGGGCTCCTTGGGCTTCTCGTCGATAACCTGAGTACGAGACTGCTTCACCGATTTTTGTCTCTTCTCGTCGGCCTTCTCGGTGGCATTCAGGTTGGTGCCCTGCTTGATGCTGGCCAATTACCCAGCAAACTCCCTGTTGTCAACCTCGTCATCAGGGCTGCTTGTTGACCCTGAGCTTGGGTGTGGACGCCTCTCGATAGACAGAAAGGTCATGACACTGGAGTGAAGACCGATGTGGACTCATAACATTGAGCAAGACTGATGTGGACTCAGGCTCGGGGTCCGTTGCTGCCACTGGGACCATCCCCTCCGGAGGTCAACCCTGTCTGAAGATCAGTTAGACAAGTGGGACAATAGAGTGGAAGCTGAGGATTCGATCGTACCTTGGCAATGCGAACTCAGTGTGAGCTCTGGGGATGAAATCGGGCTGGGCTGGGGACAAAATCAAGCTGGTACATGTGTCCCCGTTGTCGACGCAGCCCATGCTTTAACCACCACTTGAACCACCACCTGAATCGTTAGCGACAAACAAGCCAGGGATTTAAGTACAGGGCAACCTACAGACTCAAGCCAAAGGCGAGACACCAATGAACTTTAGCTGGAATGATGGAGTGATGGGGTGACGGAATGACATGGTGGAATCGCTGCCAAGTGGAATGTGGATGATGAGGAGGTGGGTGGTGAGAGGCGAAATCGAGGCAGAAGACTGAAAGGTGGAAGAATTTCGAATGCGTCCCAGTCCACAAAACAGTGCAGGGGCTGTTGCCTGCGAGGACCTTCATTACCCTAAGACAAGGCTCAGGTCTGGTACCAAGGTACTTCCACCACTTGCCGACCTACGCCGCGAACTCCCCAAGGACGAGGTGCTCAAGAAGGTCCTCCCTCGTACCCTCCTTCCCCCTTCCAGCTGCTTTGGCCCTGGAGGGGACATGTGTGGTATCCGCTCCCTTGGTTGCAGTCCGCCTCGCCTGTGGTGTCCGTTGACAGCCTACGTACACAGTTTGGTCATGCCTGAATATCATACGCCAGACCAATGCCATTTGATTCATGTGAATATGAGGAATCTCAAACTATGGGTCCCTTGATGTATCCAAGTGAACAGCTGTTGGAGGATCTATCGGTACCTCTGTAACAGCTGCAGCATCTGTCCGTTTGTCAGGCCTTGCCACTTGGCTGAACTGCAGCATCTGCAACTGGGCTTCCGCCAGTCGTCTCGCCTTCCGTGTGTTTCCAATATCCATGTACATTTTGACAACGCCCGCTGCTGCCAGGACCACAAAGGTGGCATGCAGAATTCTATTTCAACTGTCAGCAATTCCATATCGTTAAATCAAACGCATTTGCAACTCACGAATAGACTAACATGAATATCATTGCATTTCTCATGTCCAAAACCCAAGCTTGGTGGCGGCGGTCAGGCCCGTTGAAGTTCCACTTCGGCCTATCGTCCACCATATTCAAGATCGAGAAACAAAAGACACCCGTTCCTGTTAGAGCAACGTCGAATCCAACAGCAACGGGATTAATAGCCCGTCTCCGATCGAACCAAAGCAACGACACAAATTCGTATACATCGACCAAAATACCAACACCAAGCTTGCCTCGGCATGTTAGTGTCTCCTTCAGACATTTGTCTCAATGACCATTCCAACCAGAGCAGAACTTACCGGGAAGAACGACGGAAAGAGGAAATCGACCCTCGCAGTTTCTTCCCGTCTCCAGTGATCATACAGCCACGCGAAAAAAGCAATCAATCCCACCTCATAGAGACACGTCGCGAACCTCAGGGCAACTTGGAGGAAGTTGAAAGGCACGCCCAGAGCACCGATAGCCCGTACCCTTGGCCGCCGCGAACGCCTTCCCTCCTCATCGACCGTCATACCACCAAACCTGCCTAGATATATCTGACGAAATGTTTGAAGAAAGCGGGGCCAGCAAAATAGACTTGAGTAATTGGCAGAAACAGATGCCAGCAACTGGCATTGAAGAAAGGAAAGGGGAGAGGTTTTGTTTTTCGCTGGCTTGGAGTCTGGGAGATGCTATGTCATGGGATAGGTCCGGCAAAGGCGGATTTCAGTACATCGGGTTCCTGATGGGCAGTGTGGTGCTTTGGCGAGGGGATATGGGGCACAGCACCAACTTGTCACTGGTCACCAATGACCTCACCTGATCTGTTGGCGCCAGGCTTCCATAAGTGGCTTGGCATCAAAGGATTCGGCCTTGAAACCCGCCAGGCCCCGGATTGGAGTATGACACATAGCCAGCGCATGATGCTTGTTGGCTCGGAATAATATTTCAGTGATAGAAGACCGATGGAGGCCTGATATTCCATACCTTAGATGACAAGCTTTTTTCTTATCTCAGAGATGTGGATGGAGTTCAAGAATCAAATGAGACACCCGTGACGGCATGCTCCAGCAGCTACCGTTCAGAATTCCGGGGATAACAACACGTTGATGTGTGCGTGACAACAATATCGGTCTCGGAATAATGATACCCAGAGAGTGCGAGATATAGGATTCTTCATCGGCATCCCAAATCGAATATGCCACCCGGGAATAATAGTGGCTCAACCATGGAACCATTTTTTCTGGCTTGATGTTGCATCCGACGTCATCGAAGTTCATCACGATCAGGTCTTGGTACTTCAGATGCCAAGATAAAAACCGATGAATGGATCGATGTCCTGATGGCCTGTTCGTACAAACATTAACAAGACAAAAATCCATACTACGGATTTGGAAGAAGATATGCTTCAAAAGTTTGACGATTTCCTGTGCACTGGTCTTTCCCATGTCTAACCCTAACCCTATTGAATCATGAATTAACTGCTCTTCATCAACTTCTCATTTGATACCTATGTACAAAACCACATTGCAGATGTCATCTGTTCTTAAAACCCATTTACATTATAAGTGCTAGGAGTGTTAATGAGACATGTCTAGCTGTGGGTGTGGTTGCATGTATGAGAAAGTGGTGAAGGACTTTCCAGCTGACCGAACTCTTTTACACGATATGAAAGGAATCACAACACATTACCTCGGTTTGGCAACGAACGTGACCTTAGAGAAATAGACTCCTTAGAACGCAAGTAACCGAACAAACGGCTACCGACCGTCATGACCTGAAGCACTCTCGCATGAGGTGGGCCTAGGGCTGCTTCATGAATTCAATCTGCAAGGTGGTGAGCTCCGTGGGTTCCCGCTTCACAACAAAGAGCACTTGAGCGTCCTCCAAACACTGATTTCCAAAAAAAAAAAAAAGCACTTTGACAGAGGCTCCTCATATTTTGTTACATTACACATCACAGAATTCCCGTGATGACTAAATTCGGACATTAATCTATTCGTCCCGTCCAGCTCCATCCTGCCCCCGGGCCAGTTTGACCATTGGAACCGTCACTCGAGCCAGAAAATCAAAGAAAAAAGCAGCCCTTGTCTGCAGCTTTCTTTCAAAATCAACTTGTGACATGTTGCTTGCCATTTCTTGCCTTGGATATTGTGATATATGCAGGTTCACATGCCAGATGCCCACCAAGTCCTTGACGGGCATGACTGTTCCTTCTTCGCTGCCCTCTTTCTCTCGGCATAAATTTCAACTGCACAAGGAGGTATGCGCCTGTCTCCGGACCATTCCGCTCCCTTACTTAAGCTTTGACCGCCTGGCTCTCCCAACAACTTACCCCTGCATCGAATAAGTGAAGGCCAGGCGGGGATTTTGAAACTGAAAGAGGAAAGCGGATAGGTTGGTCATCAAGGGACGCAACGTACCCGCCTTTTAGACCTTCAGCTTCTTAGAGTGGAGTCCCTCAGGGGTCCAGAGCTAGGCAGAGTGAGTTAATACGTTGTGAGGGAACGGTGTCCAAGGCAGCGAGGGGATGGATGGGGAAGGAGCGTGTGTAATGCTGAACAGAACGTACCCGCCTTCCATTGAACTATGCTCGATCTTGTCACTTGTACCCGCTTCTGGTCACTCTGGGAGGGCGGAGCCGAGCAAGATTCAGTGAGGAAAGCTTGGAGATGCCGAGACGAGGGGGGAGTTGGAGGCTGCGAGGTTGTCCTACCGCAGGACTGCGGATCTTTCTTGTGTTTTGACTCTAACACCTGTCGAAACTTTGTTTGTTGAGCCACTTCTGCCGAGATATTCTGACTTTTTTGGTAAATCACTTTTCTGTGGCCACAAATGTTCGTGTTCTTCTTCGTCTTCTTCCAATCTTTGGCTCATCTTGCGTTGAGTGTTCTGCCTATTTTCATCATCCTGTCAATGATCAAGCCCAGGTTGTTGGCGTTGCAACCCACTCCCTGATCGTCAGTCTCCTCGCCCATCAGATGCTGAAAGTCACCCACACAAGTACATCCACTGACATGCCACCTGTAGCATTACCTCCAAGACATCCCTCCATTTGCCTGTCTCTGAGGCCCGATCCAGGCCAAGTCGACCATGA